GGCCCATGTCAAAGCTGTTAGCGAGAATTCTGTCATCCAGGTATGTAAATCATTTCTTTAGTTATCTTTAGTGATGATCAGTGAATTTTTGGTTCTTCATTTTTTTTTTGTAGTCTCAAGACTCGTAATGTCATCAGTCTTGTGCATGCATTGATTTTGCAGCAATTCATCAATGGGACTAAGTCTATCGATCATGTTGTTCACCTTAGCGAAGAAAACATCATCCAATTACCATCCTACGCAGAATTTGTTGCCTCGCTTGGGTCAAACTGTCGACATATCGTGGTCAACTCTTCTTGTCCAGTAATCCCTAGCGTTGAAAGCATTTACCGGTGTGCCTATTCTGATGTTATCAGCCTTTTCTAATAGGCAGAATCTAGGAACCATCGCTTGCTGAATCATATAAGCCCAGATTTGTTCCCACCATTGCATCCATTAGCTTGGAGTGGATTGGTTACTCAATCTAATGAACTGGCCGTTAATTATGGAGTATACACCAAAGTAGCTCCGCTACAGCGGTTTTGGATGAGAATGGGAGGTAAATAAATTTCTGTGTTTGTTCGAAGAACTAGAATAAATGACAAGTTTTTAGGAGTTGGTGAAGATCCTATCATTGCGGACTTGCGTGAGACTGATTTGCAACTGACGGATAAGGCTAAGGAGATGATAATAGATCTCTGGCAAGGTTAGCTCATCAAATTTTTGTACTTTGTTAATTTTTTTGTCAGTTTTGAGTTTGATAGAGGATTTTGGATTAGGGACTGTCTGCTCATTTTTATATCTCTGTACCTGGTTTCACATCCAGCAGCTGATTCTTTCTTTGTACTGAATGCTAGCTTTTTGCGTTCTTACTTCGTGATCGCTCATATGCTGCTTTATGGTAATCATAGACAGTTTAAGATTTTTTGTTCGTACATTGTCTTAAAGTCCTGCTTTTGCTGAACTTCTAAAGGCACTGCCCAGGTCAACTAGGGGGTATTAAGGTCTTGACACAGTATGAGAGCACAGCTCCTGACTAACGCAACAGTTCAAGTCCGATCGAAAAAGGTGCCCTGACTAACGCAACAGTTCAAGTCCGATCGAAAAAGGTGGAATCTGAAGCGAGACGTTGCTTCGGACGAGTTTGCAAGAAAAGGTGACTCCAATCGCGCCTTCTTGACAAGTTTTGACGTGGCCAATACACTAAATTTTGAG